GGTTGGTGATTGGGTTTTGAGGAAAGTTATGGGCAACGCCCTGGTGCCAGGTGAAGACAAACTAGGGGCAAATTGGGAAGGACCCTACAAGATAACCGGTCTGGCGGGCAAGGGGGCATACCACTTGGAGGATCTCGATGGTAGAGGTATACCCCGGCCATGGAATGCGGCCAATCTCAAGCTGTACTATTTTTAGTCTATCTTTTGTGTGTAATTTTTTATAAAATGGGAAGTTTTTCCCTCTATCTACCAATATAATCCTCTCAGTCATTATGTGAATTCATGATTGCAATATGGAATAGAAACGAATTATTTCACATTAAAAGTATGTTGTACTTGAGGAACTATAGTGTACCAGGGGTAACCCCCTTTACAGCCGTGGTGTTTTATCTCAGCTAATGGAGTTGATGATTTGCTCAACTCTAGCGTTTTAGCCGAGATGTTATATCCCAGCTAGAAGAGTTGATGTTCTGTTCAACTCGAGTATAGTAGCTGAGATGTCCTATTCCGGCTGGAAGAGTTGATGTTTTGATTCAAGTAAATTAGCCGTGGTGTTTTATCCCGGCTAATGGAGTTGATGATTTGCTCAACTCTATGTTTATAGCCGAGATGTTTTACCCCGGCTAAAAGAGTTGATGATTTGCTCAACCCTAGCATTTTAGCCGAGATGTTTTACCCCGGCTAGAAGAGTTGATGATTTTCTCAACTCTAGGTAATTTTCGTTTGTCTTTAAAGACCGAGATAATTTTCTCGGTTCAATCAGTTTGTAACACGCCCGGCAAAAATATCGCGGTTAAAAGGTAAACTATGGCAGACATTGCAAGAGTATAAGCGAAATGTGAACTTTTCATTGATTTGAAAATTTAGTACATATGGTGGGGCTTGTAGCCCAGTTACAAAAATTCAAAAACAAATCAAAAGAGAGAAGTCTAAACTATGCTAATGGGGAAAGGTCGGCAAACTCATCCCCGGCTCCTTCTGTCGCAACTTCTAGGTCTACAACAATAGCCTTTTCCTTTTCACCGAGCTCTTTCTGGCTACCTTCGTCCTCGGCCTCTTTTTCCGCCTTTTCTTGCAAAGCATTGAAGACTTCGTTCGCATATGGCACCATGTAGGCTGGGAGAAAGGTAGCAGAGAAAGAGGTAAACACCTCGGTTCCAGATCCTTGGCCGAGATGTTCACAGACAGCCTTCCAACCGGATTTAGAGAATATGTCCTTGGTGGCCTCGACTTGCTTGGCGTAGTTATCCTCGGCCTCCTTGAAACTGAGATTGTTTGCAACATCAACTTTGTCTTTTCTTGATTGCTTTAGCGCTTTCAGCTCGGCTTAGAGAG